GCAGTTCAAAGTGAGGCAGTGCAGTTCAAAGTTGGCCAGGGAGCCAGGCAAAGCACATCGAAACCCATGAAGAGCAACTGCAAAGAGAATGGGGGGCAAAACGATGAAAGCAGAGGGCGGCATTTTCATATCATGTAAAACACAACAAAAAAACACGCAGCTAAATCCAATTTTCTTGTAATGTTTTGGGGTACACACAGGTGAGGCATGAGGCTAGGTAGGGTAAATGAGTGAACAAACTAGTATCGAACATATGTAGCTAGACGTAGTAGCTACTAAGCAGCTAGTAGTAGCAATCGGACGCAGAACCGGAAGACACGCTTCAGAGATTCTTAAAGAGGTTATTCAATCTCGACGGTTTATCTGAAAACAATAAGCTACTAGGAACAAGTGCAAAGTGCATCGCTTCTAGTAACAAGTGCCTTACTAGTAGTAACAAGAAGCTTCTAGTAACAAGAACCTAATAGCTTATACCATAGAAAGCCCACAAACATCGCTGGATATCAATGTATAGAGCAAAAGCAGTCCCTAGTAGCCTCCTTGTTCATAGTAGTAAGGCCAGGAGCCCCTAGTAGTGTCCTTGCTCCTAGTAGCGATGCCAGGAGCCCCTTGTAGCGTCCGTGTTCCTAAAGCACCTCTAAGCACTTAATGATACTTAATGCAGAGCGGTTGGGGCCTGAACCTATTAGCAACGATGCATGAAGGTTGAAGCAGGACCGTACTTACTTCCCGCTTTTGCTTGCAAGTTTGCATCTTCGGTCGCAATGACTTCGATCATTTTACTTCAAAATATCTTTGTGTTTGGTTTCTTGATAAGGAGCAAGGACGCTACTAGGGGCTCCTGGCCTTACTACTAGTAACAAGAAGCTACTAGGGGCTCCTGGCATCGCTACTAGGAGCAACCTAAGAGATGTCCTCCACCCTAGCGATGGCCTCCAACCTACTTGCGGCATCCTTACTAGTAGTAACAATGTTTGCTATTAGAAACGAATTCTGGAAAGACATGGAACTTTGCGCTTCCGAACTCTTGGATCTTTGGGAACGTCGTGCGCCTTTTTGAGCCAGGCGGCGAAGGCGAGATGGCCGGTGGTTCTGCAGCAAAGGCCCTAGTAGCATCCTTGCTCCTAGTAGTGAGGCCAGGAGCCCCTAGTGGCTTCTTGTTACTTGTATCGACGCTGCAGATGGAAAGCTTTGGCCTTTCATGGCCTCTCTCTTTCATGGCCTTTGCCCAGGAGATCATGAAGACAAGTGGTGTGGAGTGGACAATGATGTTTCAGGCATGGACGCTGGACGCAGGTAGGTTGGAGGCCATTGCTATAATAAAGTTTCCCCCAAAATCTCGGAACCACATGAATAGTGCGTGAGCTATCCTGGGTCCTAAGCAGTAGCTACTGAAGCTACTTGCTACTTAGCTCCTACTAGCTACCACTAGCTACCTACCTAGCTAACCTACCTCACCTCTACTAGTAGCCTACCTCCCAAAAAGCGAAAAATCAAAAGTGGCCTCCAACCTACTAGCGATGGCCTCCAACAGCCGAACAAAGTCATTGAGAAAGTATCCGTGATCAAACGTGAGAGCGGATAGCTGTTTCTAGTAGCTTCTTGTTACTACTACTAAGGCACTTGTTATTAGTAGCGATGCACTTGTTCCTAGTAGCTTCTGGTTTCTTCTCTTTTTCTTTCGATATTTGCTCTCTTTCAGGGAACATCTTTTGTCTTCTCTGGTGATACCAGCTCGCCAATGGTAACCAACTGTGCTGTGAGACAGGCTGCAGATGACTTTGCCAAAAAGAACAAGCTGCGGAAGTTAGGTGACTCCAAAGAGGCTGCTGCCAAGTGGGCAGCTTTCTATCCCGATGAGGCCGGTGTCTTGTGGCCAAAACCGACCATTTTACGAGTGTTGAGCGACATAAACATTTGCAGAGACCGCTTGGTTCATGCAGAACATTCCCACTTCCTTTCAAAGATGGATGTGTCCACCGACTTTTCTAGATCAGGATCCTGTGGACCAGAGCACCGCAGCATGCAGCGTTTGGCCAGACCTTGCAAACCTCTGACACTGCCTGTTTTCGTCACTAGGAGAAGGCTTGTGCGCAAAATGGTGCCCCGCAGTAGTGAACCCTAACATTAACAGGAGTGTGTTTTTCCTGAAGACATCATAGGTTGAAGCTGCAGCATTGCCCTTCTTTCATATCGGCCAGTCCTTGTGTTTCACAACCAGATATATAGTTCCCTGGATCACTTTGTGATCACTTCTCGCTCGACTCACACGACTCGATGAGAATGTTGTGGTGATAATGTTGAATCGATGGTGTGGAGCAAATGAGGCCGTCGGGCATCATGCAGTGTAAAATACATGACATCGGTCATGTTTCTGATGCCTGTAAAAGCAAGCTTACAGGGTAGCAAAAAACAGCAGCGAATGGTATATTTGTTCTGTACGAACACAGCAAGCCAGAGGGAAAGCGTTCGAAAACGCGCTTGTCCTTATCGAACCGCATCACAAAAGATGTGAGTGCCCACGAAAAAGAAGGACAAAACAAACGAAGGAAGGACGGACGGACCTTTCCGTGAGGCTTCGCGGGTGAAGCAGAAAGGAGCAGGAAACTGCTTCCCCAGAATGGGTGACAAAGTCCGCAGGTTATCATGCGTTGTTTGAAGTTTGGCTATACAAGGTCCTTTTTGAACAAGAGGACTTAGAGAATGAGTCCCTGTTACATTTAGTCCGTGCTGTCAATGTATCCATGATTATTCGTGCCATGTGACAAACACACATTCAAGAGTTTCTTGACTGCGAGGCCGTACATGGACTCAGAGACTGGCTTGATCGCCGTGGTTTGCGACGCCATTTTGAAGCGGCCATGTCCCTATTTTCTTGCTATTGAGTTGGAGGCCATTGCTATTAGGAGCAAGGACGCTACTAGGGGCTCCTGGCCGTACTACTAGGAGCAAGAAGCTACTAGGAACAACGGGCATCGCTACGAACGGAGCAAGGACGCTACTAGGTTGGAGGCCATCGCTATTAGATTCTATCTACTTTGTTCACTGCTTTCGTGGAGCTTCAGAGCTACTCAGGTTAATGAGTGGTGCAAAACTATGGGAGCAGAGACCTGGCGAAAGCTTTGAGCACTGCTTTGAACACTACTGTCAAATGTGTCCTGAAAGAATACCACATTTTACTGTGATGTCTGTTGTGAAATCACAGGATGACATTCTGGACCTCATGGAGAATACTGAGGAGATTCATATGAATTTGATGATACGAGGAAAGGATCAGTGTAGAACTGCTCCTGTTTTTAAGTTTAGAAGCCGTTGCACACCACATTGGCTCACAACCAATCAGCAAACGTTCCAGAGTTGCCCAACATCTTCATAAAAACCAAATGGTAAAAATTGCACCAATAGTAAAACAAGAGGGTAGCTAGCATGAATGGCACGGGTTGTTGAAGAAGGCTTCTCCCGCCCTCGTTGGAAACCGTTCCCATTGATGTGTCTCAAAGAACGAGAGACAGAACGAGGTTTTTCCAGATCTGAAACAAAGAAAGAACCAGACTGGTTTCTGTGGGCATTTCCTTCTCGCAGGACATTGCAGATCACTTGGGCAAATCTTTGAGCACAACAGAGCGGCTGAATTTGCTGGGAGGGAAAAGAGCGCCTCTTTCCGACCGCGTCTCTTTCCAACCTAAGAGCAATGGCCTCCAACCTACTAGCATCCGATCGCTCGGTTCGTAGCGATGCCCTTTCTTCCTAGTAGCGAACATTGCTCCTACTAAGAGCGAAGACCTCCAACCCAAGAGCATCTCTTTCCGACTGCGCTGATGCAACTACTTGCGCTTAAACCAAGCTGCATACAGCAGATTCAAAACCATCCTGCTGGTGTACCGGTTTGGAGGGAAAAAGACTGGCTTCGCAGATTTTACAGGTCGTATCGCCAAAAATCGAGGCAAAACCCTGCTTTCTTCTGCATCGTAAGTAGCCTACTCGAAGCCGCTGCACTAGCGGCCTACCCCCCCACACACACAAGAGATGAGGACACTTGTTACTACTAGCGTCCTTGTTACTACTAGTAAGGCACTTGTTACTAGTAGCGATGCACTTGTTACTACTAGTAAGCAAAGCTTTCCATGTCCCATTCCCACACATATTGAGCAAGAACAGCAGTCTGAGTGATTCAAGATTAGATTTTGATCTGTCCAGATCAAAACAAATCCTCGTGGTCACCCAAGCCCCTTTAGTTTCACACTTCCACTTGCACCAGCAGTTTTTTGGAGGCCTCCCACCTCACCTCAGCTCAAGTGCTATCAATTGTGTGTCTGCGTGTATTTCTGAGCCAACCACAAAGTCTGTATCTTGTGATACACCAAACAGGATTATAAATTAACCTAGGTCAGAGCAAACAGAGAAAGGCTACGCTTTGCTCGTCGCTTGCCACGCCCAGCGACCTCATCTCGCCCTTCACACATGCTCTCCTTCATGCGGCGGAAGCGATTGTCTCAGCGAGTACAGGCAAGGACGCTATTAGGAACAAGTGCATCGCTTCTAGTAACAAGTGCCTTACTAGTAGTAACAAGAAGCTACTATGGGCTCCTGGCATCGCTACCAGGAGCAAGGACGCTATTAGGGGCTCCCCGGCCTTGTTGAAAAGGACTTTGTACTTCTTGAGATCACAAGGGGTTCCAAGTTGGGTTATGAGTTTACGACACTGGTCTTGGCTCATTGACCGCAAATCGGAGCTACAGCACCACATGAAAAAACAGCAACATTTCACACACATGTTGAAACAGCTGGAATGATGACTGCAGCATAGTAGTTGCAAGGTGAGAGAGCTCACTCAGCTTCAGTGGCAAATAGCTTCCAAATGTGAGGAGATGTTGTGTTTCCGGATCGGAATCTCCTCATGTGTTGCCAGGGGTTTATTTGCAATCAGTCAAGATTTTTGATCTGCGCGATACATGTCCTTTTCCCACAAAGTTTCACGATACATTCCCCGTCACCATTTATTGAAGTTTCATCTCCTTTTGAGCCAAACAGACGCTCTGGAGATCTCGGGCCATGGGAAGATTTCGGCGTGTGGCGGTGATTGCCCTCTTTGCCTTTGTGGTTTTGAGGCTCTTTGAGAAGCTACTAGTAACAAGTGCCTTACTACTAGTAACAAGAAGCTACTAGGAACAAGTGCCTTACTAGTAGTAACAAGAGCTCTCAAATGGCAGGAGCATTGCTCTCAAATGTTGCTGCTAGGAGCAATGCTGGATTCATTCTCCCCGCGAAAGCAACGGTGCGCAGTGATGCAGATTCTGCAGAACATGCTCGCAGTCTTTGCAGCAGTCCTTGCTTGTGTTTGTGTCCAGGGCAGCCTTTGCCGAAGAGACACTTGGGTAAATGAGGATGGTCAGTGACATCGCCTGAATGCTGCGATGGTGAACTTGTGTGCTGTTCGATGTCGAGGAAGGCTTGCTGGCGTTGGTGGCTGGTGTAGCATTCCAGGCGATCTGACATGCTTGGAGGATCTGAAGCAGTCAACGGAACAGTGTGACTGACACGTGGCACCCAGAGTTGGCAAGGCTGAAGGCGTTTCAGCTTTGAATGATGCTCTTCACTCAGATCCGACGGTGGGATTCTGCGGAAACAGAAGGCATTGAATGCATTTGTGCGAAACCTCAAGAGGATCGAATGATGTGTCTAAGTGGAAAATAGACTCAAACAGATGTTGGACAAGCAGGCATAGAGAAAGCGGTGCACAAATAAGGCGAAATGTAACAGTTTAGTTCGAAGAATTCGAGGCCTTTTGCTAGCGTTTTCCTGGCAAATCCTTGAGCCACATGGTGTTGCCATGAGTATCGAGTCTTCAGCGTGCAGAAAACAAGGACTCAATCTTGGACCCAACTACGTAGTACATACGCCGTAACGCCGCCTTAACCACGTTGTAACTAAGTTATGTTGTATTTACTTCTTACTCTTAACACGAATGGACGAGAACAGTTTCTAACTGCTTTTTGCAAGAACATGTTTGATTGGGCTCAACTGAGACTGTCCCGAGGCCTTTTAGTCTTGCAGACAGCAAAAGTCTGCAGATCAATCTTAGATTCTTCTTGAAGCCTGCTCTTCTTTGGCCGAGGCCAGACAAGATTCTATTTGCACTTACAAGTGCTCGTGCCCCAGTTGAGACAAAATGTTCGAAGCGTTAACACGGAGAGACAAGTAAGTTGTTTTTGTCTTACAAGTTTGGATTTGGTATGCAAGCATTCGCGACTTAGTTTCGACTGAAAGTTGCGACAAAAACTAAGGTCTTGCCATATGCAACCAAAAAGCACCCGACAATGAGGAGTACTGCCAAAAGGTGCATTCTTTTTCAGCCTTTGAAGCTGGACACTGCCAGTTCTCGCAGAGACTTTTCTGTCTTCCAGGCTTGCAAACTATATTGCCAAAGTTCTCAAGCAGAGCAGGAGTTATAGATTTTTCTCATCTTGCAAAAGTAAAAGAGGGGAGCACTCAACATTTTCTTGTAGTGCATGAAATATAAGCATTCTTCCTCCCATCGTTAAAACATCAAGGTATGTTTACAATCTAGAAGTATCCCAAGCCTTGTTTTCGATTGGGTGCATCTAGTCACAGGATCTTGATTCTAATGTGAAGAAGGGCAGCATCGTCGACAAAATCCTTGACAAGTGCCGCACACAACAAAACTGCAAAAGTCCAAACTTGACTTCTAGCCGCTTTTTAGGCCGCCGCTAGTAGGTTGGAGGCCATCGCTCTTAGGTTGGAGGCCATTGCTATTAGGTTGGAGGCCATCGCTAGTAGGGTGGAGGCCATCGTCGCTCACTTTTTGCCGTGCCGCGTTGCCTACTTCATGCAAGGTCTCGCAAGAAGAAGTTTGATGCCAACCGTGCAGACAACTCCAAAACAGAGAAACTCGATCTCTTCATCGGCGTCTTAGCAAAGTTGGATCATGAGCAGTGTGAGAATAATTGAGCGGTGAGAGTGGGAATTGCTTTTCCTTCTTTCAGGCCATCTGGGGTGGTAGGCACCAGGGTAGGTAAGAGCTAGCACTAGGCCAGCCTGCAATCTAGTAGTCACTTCGGCAAATTCAAAGACATGACACTTTTTGATGATCCTGAGGCGGTCAATTGTCTTTGAGTAACGTCACAGAGACTTGGCAGCTGAGCCGTTTACATTTTCTTTGTGTGTGCACATCCCATTAAGGATTATGCGAATGGAATCAAAGAGACCGCCAAAATCAAAGAGTTCATGAAGCAATGATTGGCAAATGCGAGATTGGAAAGAGGCACAAAGTCTTGAGCGACTAAATCGGCAGCTTATTCGCGAAGCAAAGAAAAAGAGAAGACTCGAGCTCCCAAGTAGCAGCCATGTTGTGCATCCGAGTTATGTTGAAGAGAGGTCATAAGCTTCTTGACTTGGAGAACAAACAAGAAACAGGACAGCAGGGCTTGAACCAGCAATCATGCTACCAGAAGCAACACTGACTGAGACCCCTTGACGCTTGCTTGCGAGAGATGGAGCTCACCTGCAAAACAGCACCTTAAGTTGTGGCTCAGACTCTGTCAAGGCACGCGCAGCCAAGACATTGGAAGGATCACATCGCGGGCACATAGACTGGCAAATTGCAAATTGTGAAACCGGGACGACAGGGCTACTAGGTTGGAAGCCATCGCTACTAGGTTGACACATAGACAGACAGAACTCCAGGGACTTCCACACGCGCAGTTTTCCAGAATTGCTGGCTGACTCGCTCATGGTTTCTGAGCTGCACTGACCAGAAGCCAACATTTCACCTTGAAACATCTTGAAAGGCAGTTTTAAAGTATGGTCAAAGATGGACATCAACTAGGTTACTCCTTAGATTTCAGTGGTTTCCTTTTGGTTGCTTGGATTTCAGTCCCCAACTCTAGAGGTGTCTGTGATTTTCCTTACTATAGAAGCCTATCATTCCTGGTCAGAGTCGGTTCAATCTTTGTTTGGTCGCTCTCCTTTCTTGTCAGGCTTCGCTGGCCTCTGTACGTGCTTCTTGGCAAAAAGACCGAGCAAGCTGAGTTCTTTTAACGCCTCTTTCTGTTCTTTTATACTTCACTTTGGCAGTGTCGTATTGCAAAGCAAGCTGCTGCAGCTGTTAGACTGATGCACTCCCGACACATCGCTGACAGGGCAAAGACAGTGCACAAGAGTCGCCTCAGGAGCAAAGTGCAGAATCTCCATCTAAAGCAAACATGAAAGAAGAAAGTAAGAAAGCACGATCAAAATGCATAAAACGAGAAAACAAACATACAACGAAAGAAAGAAAGAAAGACACCCACATCTCCAAACGCACACCAAGTCTCAGGCTGGGCCTCTCCTCACAGCAGAAGAGGAGAGAGAGAGAGAGAGAGATGAGACTTTCGAAGTAGAAGCAGCTTTGCCTTTTGAACAAAGAAAAAGGAAGAAAGGTCTAAAGAAACATGAATAGAGGCAGTTTTCTGCACTTGGTGCGTTTTTGTATGGCACCGCTCTTTGACAGTGTGATTTTAGTTTCAAGTGCTGCCCATGCAGCCCTGGACCACTTGTTCTGTGGAAAAGCGCCATTCAACTTTTTTTATCTTCACAGGTCGCCAGTGAACCTTCAGAGCCTCCAGACCTTTTTAGGTCTCTGAAGCTTTGTAACGACCGAAGCTACTAGTAGCTCCTGGCATCGCTATTAGTAACAATAAAGCTTTTCAGTATGTCTTTGAAGCTTCTTAGTAAGAAGGCTTTCTAGTGACTAGAAGTAACAAGAAGCTGTCACTGTCGCATCAGCGCCTTCAGACAACCTTTCATTCTTTTTAGAAGCCTGCAGCCTGCTCCACCCCACTCCCTACACTTAATTAATAGCAATGGACTCCAGCCTAATGGCATGGCCTTAGCAATTGAATCAGATCGATACGAACCGTTACGTGAGCTCTGGAATTTGGTCCGGAGTTGATCTTCGGACAAGCGGAGAGGTTTCTTGTAGCTCCGCTGTAGCTGATCTACCAAGTTTGCTATTAGGTTGGAGGCCATCGCTATTAGGTTGGTGGTATTTGGAGGTCATCTCTCTTAGGTTCTATGGAGGGCCAAGCTTTCATATAACTTGTTTGGAGGCTTTCGTTGCGTTAACAACCGGTCTACCAAATCTAACACGCCAGCGAGAGGTGTCACAAGTTGCAGGGATATCTCGCGTGATGATCGGAGCCTGACTCTTCGTCCAAAGCACGGCACGTGTCGCATGGGCAGTGCGCAGTGCGGGGAAAAAGTCCCAAAGTTACGCAGTGTGTTTCCTCCAAGAACCTGTTTAAGTATGACCCCCCAAAAAAACCTTTACATTTGGAAATATAGGCTGCTAGGATATTGGTTGGGACACTATTTGTGCATAGTGTGCGCTCCTTGCTCCAAATGTCTGCACACAGCATGGCCGCCAGTGGCCCCAAAAGCCACAACTACACATCCACAGACTCCTGCCTTCACAGACAGTTCTCATTTGGATACCGATGTGGCACTCTGTGGCCCGAGCACAAAGCAAAGTCTTGCTGCAAAGGATAAAGCACAGTCTCAGGCAGGAAGAATGGTGTACTAGTGTACCACCTCGAGACCACCAATTCACTCAGAAAATGCAAAAGACCCGTCACCTTCCTTTTTGCAATTGCCCGATACGTCCTCCAGTTGGGTTCTGGTTTTCCTGATCACTCATTTTGGTTTGCAGGCTTTCCACTTCTTGCCACCTTCACAAGACTCTCTGGCTTTCATTTTCTTCCTCAGCTGCCACCATCGCCCTCGGTTGCAAGTCAAACTGTTGTCACAACCAACATCCAGGAACAGCCAAAACCACAAAGCCTTCGCTGAGCAATGGCACAACCTTTGAACGCAACAGAGAACAGAACATCGGCACACTGAGCAAACAGCGAAGCTAGTGGCACACCACTAGTAACAAGAAGCTACTAGGGGCTCCTGGCATCACTGCTAGGAACAAGAACGCTACCAGGGGCTCCTGGCATCGCTACTAGGAGCAAGGACGCTTGAGAAAAAGCTCCAAGGAGCAAGTTTTCTGTGTGGATCGGTGAGCATTAGCACTTTACATTAGCCGAGTGCACTAGCCCTTTAATACAACAACGTACGAGATAGCGTTGGCACTACGGATTTTAAAACTATTTCAACATGCACGCTGCACACAGACACAGCACACACATCATCCACAGCACACACTCTGACATTCTGACATTGGTTTGCTCTTAATCAATTCCCCGGTGAAAGGAAGGCGATGGAACGGCAAGGCGAAAGGTCCGATGATTTGAATATGTTTTAACAAAAGGTTTGTGCACATCTGCAGTGACTCAGCGGCAGCTCACGAGCGGTGGAAACTGCGGTGGGAAACCTGTTTGGGGGAGAAAAGATCACATGAAAGACCATGAATCAAATCAAAGGATTAGACGGCCTGGTCAACAGTTTCATTGCAGGTACAAGAGCCGGCGTCCCAGCTCTCTTCCATTTGATTTCCGTAGCTTCGTTGGCACGGATGGGAAATCAGTCTCCGTGCCCCCTGCGTGAACAATGGAAATTGTAAGGTGGAGCCCTTGGAAACAGGGGTTGACACACACACGGTGCCGCTTGGCGGCTCTCGCGTGTAAGGCCTGAATAGATACCTAAAAAGCCTTAGAAACAAAAGACAGAAACACAGAAAGAGCAGCGCTGAGAGGGCAAGAGAGAAAGATAGGAGTAGAGAAATGAAAAAATGAATACTTAGCCCTTGACTGGGGTAGGGAAACGCGCCTCAAGAACAACCTAAAAGGCCTGAGAGAAAACCCAAGAAACAACCAAAAGCGTAAGAAAGAAAGTGGGGGGCAGGGAGGGGATGTATGTGGCATGTGTGTGTCCATGTGTGTGTATGACTACCTAGCACTCTAGGGTTACTGACTACTTAGCAGAAACGAATTACGTGCAATAGTTAGGGAGCGGGACTTTAGTCTTAAACCGCCCGGGTAGAGTAGACTAGAAAAGGGACAACAGAGGGAAAGGCACCGACACACAAGTGTGTCGAGTACCATTTCCCTGTGTTACCCCAATTAGGTAGGGAGTAGAACTCGGTGGGGGGGGGTTTGGGAGACCTGCCTCGAGTGGGTTGAATTCCGTTCTTTAGCCCGGCGGCTATGGTATCCGTGAGAGCCCGGCGGCTTTAGATTCCGACAATTCAGTAGTGAGACTAAGGCTGAAGGTGATTCACGAAGACGATAATTCAGGAAAACGATTTCCGGTATGAAAGCGGCGCCTCCTTGCGGAGGATCACACCCAGCACCCAAGTGGGACGGCTGAGCGGTTCACACTCTGACATTGGTTTGCTGTTAATCAGTTCCCCGGTGAAAGGAAGGCGATGGAACGGCAAGGCGAAAGGTCCGATGATTTGAAGATGTTTTAACAAAAGGTTTGTGCACATCTGCAGTGACTCAGCGGCAGCTCACGAGCGGTGGAAACTGCGGTGGGAAACCTGTTTGGGGGAGAAAAGATCACATGAAAGACCATGAGTCAAATCAAAGGATTAGATGGCCTGGTCAACAGTTTCATTGCAGGTACAAGAGCCGGCGTCCCAGCTCTCTTCCATTTGATTTCCGTAGCTTCGTTGGCACGGATGGGAAATCAGTCTCCGTGCCCCCTGCGTGAACAATGGAAATTGTAAGGTGGAACCCTTGGAAACAGGGGTTGACACACACACACACACACTGGCGCAAAACAGCCAATTAGAAGGGAGGCCACACATCTAGATGCGTAGCGGGAGATGGTTTTTTCTTTTGGAATGGTATTGTTTTTAGAAAGTCATGGGCTGACACGTGCTTATGCTTTTTGTGCTGGACGTTGTGTGTGCAGCAGGAGATGCAATACCAACGTGCACTATGGGTGAACCGCCTCCTAAAGGCACGCAGCTCTTGAGTCTTTGGATGATTTTCATGCTTGCGTTTCTCGTTCATGTTCCGCATGTCTAATTTCTTTGTATTGAACTTTTGGCCAGTAGGTTGGAGGCTATCGCTATTAGGTTGGAGGCCATCGCTACTAGGTTGGAGGCCATTGCTTCGAGTGGAACTTTCCATGTGTCTTCAATGCTCATGCAGGAGCAGCTAGCCACCCAGACTCAAGGCCTCTCATTGAAGGAGACATGTTGTGCGGCAATTCAAGTTGGACGTTTCCTGGCTTTATCATATAGGGTTGGTGATAGCTACATTGTTGAAATTCATATGACTTATATACATAGGTGAAGATGCCAGCTGGGCCTGCTTTCTGCAATAAAGGCTGGTATAAGTAGCACATTGGTGAAATTCATTTGCGAACCAGGGCCTGTTTTGAATAACTCTCTGTTGGATGTAGGTAGCTGGTAGCTTGCAATTGGTGAAATTTATTTGACAAGCATGTAGAACGCACATGTTGCTGTCACTGGTGTGGTCAGGTGTCAGTTGGGAATGCAACTTGGGGGGCTGAATCTAACTTCTAGCTTTTCTTTCTGAGTAACAAGAAGCTACTAGTAACAAGTGCCACGCTAGTAGTAACAAGTGCCTTACTACTAGTAACAAGAAGCTATTAGGTGGATTCTTTGGGGATTCGGAGTAACAAGAACCTGTTGCGGGCCAGCTCGCCATCGGGTTTCAGCAGTGCACGGCATCCACATTGTCACGTCTTGCACTTGTTCCTAGCAGCTTCTTGTTACTACTAGTAAGGCACCTGTTACTATTAGCGTGGCACTTGTTCCTAATAGCTTCTTTGCAAGGAACATGGTTGTCCTTTGCCCACCCCCACACCCCAAGTCCTTAGCCCACAATTCCCGTCCGTTCCTCAAACATGGGGAGCGAAATACGCAGAGCGAAGCGTTCAACACGGAGGCCCAACTTCACAAGCTTCGATTATATCTGACATGTAGAGCAAGACAGAGGATGAGGGGGCGCCACTTCACTAGCCATCAATGTCGCCTGTCAATCGGAAACCCTCGTACCTATCCTCTCCCCTATAATCTATCCTGCAAACATAAAGCAATCCTTTGCAACAGCAAGAAACACCACTTGCAAACAGCAGCCTTTCAACCCCCCAGCTGCGAGTGAAGAGAACCTTTTCCGCCAAGCTGCGCGGCAGCTCACAGGAAGCCCACCCGCAGGCCCGAACCTGAACAGTCTGATGAAAATGCCACTAGCGATGGCCTCCAACCTAGTAGCGTCCTTGCTCCTAGTAGCGATGCCAGGAGCCCTAGTAGCTTCTTGCTCCTAGTAGTAAGGCCAGGAGCTCCTAGTAGCGTCCTTGTTTCTAATAGCGATGGCCTCCAACCTAAGAGAAAAGCTACCAGTATTGTTTGCCGCAGCACCACGCTTTGTGTGTGCAGTGCCACTGGTCAGTTGCTGCTGTGAATGCCTCCTGCTGTTGCTGCACTGTGCTCCATGTTCGACGCTGGGATTAGCAAAGCTATGCAAGCAAACCGGCACGAAGTCGACTTTGGAGTCAGCTTCAACACCTCCACAGGACTTTGCTTCTTTTAAGAACAAGACACATTTTTCTTCTAGTAGGTTGGAGGCCTATTCACGAAAGCTAGCACCAGCTAGCCGGAGTTGTCCTTGCTTTAGCAAGTGAGGGGCTGGAATCCTTGGGATCGCCGCATCACGTGAAAACTTCATATGTAGGGGGCCCTCCTCCGCCCCCCCCCCCCTGGGTTCAACTCCCCCCTCGGACGCCTCTGGGACACCTCTCGGGCATCTCTTATGGCATCCACTTTGGCTTAACTCCTCCGGGATACGGTGCAACAGATTCAACAAGCTCACAGGTTCGTGAACACATCGGATGCATCGAACAGTGTGGCAAAGTCCAGCCACGCTTCCTTAATTATTGGGGATTTCAATTCTAAGGTTGGCTGTGTCATTGCTGTTTGTGTGTCTTACATGTTCACAACGTTTTACCTCGTGAGCATTTGCCTCACTCCGCTTGATGTCCCACCAGTCCGGATGCACCCCTGCTAGCTTTCGTCACCTACCCTCGGCCTCAAGTAGAGCTAAAAAGTATTTGTTTGATATATGTTTAATAAAAGAAACCAATAGAAGAACGCTTTTTTGTGCGAGTCGAGATATTTTCACTCACGCCAAGTCCTCGTCGCCGGAGTCGTTTTGAGTCGCTTCCGAAAACGCAATCCCTGCGTTTGGCTACTCAATCCTGTGCACGTAGCTTCCCTACTTAGCTTGTTTCTTGCTCCCGAGCCACCTCTTACTACTTAGAGCCCGCTCCAGAATTTCATAAAAAGGATAACGATCATAGAATCATAGAGTTTCTCGTATCTGATCTTTGAGCATCACCTCTCAGCCCTCAGCTGAGCCACCTGCCCCATGCACGGGTTTTGCATGTTGCGTGTCTTGCGCATGCCGATTGCAGAATACCTTGCATACGCCTACGAGCGATGGCCTCCAACCTACATATCTTTGCATGTACTTCATGTGCCTTGCATGCTGTTACTTCTCCAATTCTATTCTAGACGCATGATGTGGATGACAAGAAGGAAAGTAGGACATGCAGCCGCCAGCAATGCAGAGTAAGGCAAGTGTAGCTTCGTAGATAATGGCCATGTATATAGATGCAAGATGACATCGAAGAAGTGCACAAGTTGTTCTTTTCAGGCTGTGAGAGCCTTTCGAAGAAACCACTAGCATCTTCACAAAGTAGCACTGTAGAGCAGCCTTGGAACACTGTGTGCAGTTTTGCTTCCACAAGACACGTTACTATCAGGTTCATCACTTTTGCGCTTGGCAGTCCTTTTAGGAGTTGTATATTCTGAGAGTTTGAGTAGAGGAGATTGAGGAAGCACAAGGGCAGATTCAAGCTAGAATGCGACAAGCTGCGAGATTGCAGGCACCAGAGTTCCGGTTGGAAAAGGGGGGATGTGGTAAATCGGACAACTCCGAAATCGGACAATCAACAGAGAGAGAGGGAGTGGCAGCCTAATGGCGATGGCCTCCAACCCAAGAGAGAGAGAGGGAGAACATGTATATTTGTTTTGCCTTTCTCTGAAGCGGTTACCTTGCTTTTGTGGTTAGAGTTTCTGTGGATGTCCCCTTTGTTCTTTTCTGTGCGATGCCAGCTGGCTCAGGCATGGACATCTCATGGACCAGAACCTGTTGGAACAAGGCAGCGTTGAAGAATGTTGAAGATGACTCGTGGTGTTTTAGCATGGCTAAGAAGCGCAACAAACACATTCCATGATGTTCCATGCACAGCATCAAAGTATTCGTGCCGCCGAAAGAAGAGTTTTTCACAATACAACACAGTTGCTGGTCAAAGCCGCTAGAACACCAAGACGTCATTTGTGTGAAGGTATCCCAAATCTCCTCGGAAAAGCTACACTCAGCGCTTTGGCAGAGCAGTTGCTCTGGTCAAAAGACTCATTGGCAATTGTTATAATTGTACGTCATTTCCACTTGGCGTTGCATCACTGCAATTTGCATAAAGGCATCATGAACTTTCGCAAACACGATTACATGTTGACGTTTGAACCTATTTTGCTTTCATGGAGAACGCAGAGAAGTGACGGTTCAAAGGGGTTCTATTCATGCTTGCTAAATTGTAGATATATTATTTGATAAATTGTGGAACTGTTGAATTCAACTCATTCTGGGGCCTTTCACAGCACCAGGTCATTGTATGAATGCAATATGTGTTGATTGGTGGTGCTTGAGCCAAGGCAAAGCCGAAATCAGCACACTTCTTCCTGTGAAGTGAACCGGAGGTGGACAGAGTCCGGTAAGAGGAAGCGGTAGCCAGTTAACTGAGAAGCTGACTACTTACGACGCACAAGAATCCTCGCTCCTTTAAACGGTTCTACACTGAATAAGAGCAAAGCTCTGTTTGAGAAAAAAGGAAAGACTAGTAGGTTGGAGGCCATCGCTATTAGTTTGGAGGCCATCGCTCT